AACAAACATTACAATATTATTTTTATCTAAAGACTTACTTGCTTAAGATAATGGAAATCCATAATGTATATCCTTTTTATTTAAAGATGATGAAGATTGATGTGTCTTAAAATGAATCTCTTGGTCATCTTTGTTAATTATTTTTTGACCTACACAACACAAACATTGAAAATATTTGAATTTCATCTAACTACTTGTCTTCTTATGTAGCAATTTTACAATTAAAAAATTTTTACAAATTACTTTACAGATTATTAACTTTATAAGTAAAATAGGGTATATAGTATGGTATATAATATTATAGGTTTCATACTGCTAAACATTTGGTAATAGCACCAGAATATTATTAAAGAATAAAAATTTTAAAATGACATTTTTAAGTAAGTCACTTTCTTTCTTGAAACAAATCATCATATTTTTTCCTTTCAGCCTTTTTAGCTATAGTAATTCTTTTATAAAAACCACTGATATTATTATTTTTAATTTTTAGAGTTAAAGAAAAAAAACTCTGAGAATGTTGTTCCCTTATCTCAAATCCAAATAAATTTTTTGCGTTAAAAGCAGTTGATAATTAAGTAGAATTAAAAACTTAATCTAGTTTTTTTAAGCATTCAATTTTACTCAACAATTAAGTTATTTAATAGAGTAAAATAATCTAGTTAACCACACCATTAAAACTTTCTTAATCATATCTACTTGATTCAAATAGAAATACAAACACAACCTAGTTTCAACGAAGGCATACAACTTTAAACTAAAAATACTCCAATATATTTTCAAATTTAATTCTACAAGAAAAGAATACAAACATGTGCTAGTTTGCGCGTATGAAATTCGAATTTCATACGCGCAAACTAGCACATGTGCGAAGCAATTATAAAATATCACAATGCCAAATGACATAAGTGCAAATGGGCAAAACTGCACAAAAAAAATTCCAAAACATTGGCATAAGTGCAAACTGCTATAAGTGCAAACTGGCATATGTGTATATTGGCATAAGTGCGCTAAATAGATTTACAAACATTCGCATAAGTGTGAATTGCCATAAGTGGAAACTGGTATAAGTGTGAAGCAGTTGCAAAAACTCGCAAAAGTGCAAACAACTTAAATGCGAACTGGCAAAAGTGTGCTAAATAAATTTGCAAAATTTAGCATAATTCCAAACTGGCATAACTGGCATAACTGCAAACTAGCATAAGGGCAAAATGCCAATCACCACTTAGGCCAATGTTTGCAAATTTATTACACGCACTTATGTCAGTTCGCACTTCTGCCAGTTTTTGTAACTGTTTTGTACTTAATCAAACTTTGCACTTTTGCCTATTCATAATGTTTGCTAAACTGTTTGGTGTACTAATGCCAATTTACACTTTTTCCAGTTTGCAAGTTTAAAGCTAAAGGTTATCCTATAGCTTTAAACTTTAGTCCAGATAATTCTTTTAACCCAGATAATATTCATATATATGACTACATAAATGGTTAGTGTACACTTATGATCTGGACTATATTAATGGTTAGTGTGCTATTTTTTAAATAACAGACTCGATTTAATTAATAAATAAACTGTATCGTTAAAATAAAATCTAAATGTTTAATTACATTTAGATTTTATGAAAAAAAAGAAAAAAATTTTAATCACAGTAGTTAATTATAATTTCATAAATTATAAGATATAAAATTATTAAATATATTATTTTTAGTTTTATTACAAATTCACTTATGGCCAAATCTAATATGGCAGCTGGAAAAGGCAAAGGATCTTTTTAATCTAACCAAGCTATACAACTTAATAAAAGGTACGTTATAAATATATATATATATATATATATATATATATATATATATATATATATATATATATATATATATATATATATATATATATATATATATATATATATATATATATATATATATATATATATATATATATATATATATATATATATATATATATATATATATATATATATATATATATATATATATATATATATATATTATATTTTTTTTACTTTGTTCTTATGAATAATAGACATCGATTCGTGTCTCAGGAAAATTTATTTTTTAAATTTTTTTTGTTATGAAAGTCACTATACCCTAATATATATATATATATATATATATATATATATATATATATATATATATATATATATATATATATATATATATATATATATTATATTTATATATATATATTATATATATATATATATATATATATATATATAATATATATATATATATATATATATATATATATATATATATATATATATATATATATATATATATATATATATATATATATATATATATATATATATATATATATATTAGGGTGGCCCTTAAAACAACTTTTTTGATAAAAACCTGCTTCCACCCCCTAAATGATTTCTATCTAATACAAAAACACTAGGTTTAAAATTTTTTTGAATAAAAATATTTTGAGGGGACCCTCAAGACCCTCAAATATTCAATGGGTCCCTAATATTTTCAAAATAAATGTTTTTCAAAAATATGTCAACGTGGTACTCAAATAAAGCGAAATAATATAATAATTTGAAAAATATATTCATTTTGAAATAATTTTAACTTATTTATTAAAATGATCATAAAAAAAAAAATTTTTTTTTTTTTCATTTTTTGTTTGAAAATGTAATTTTTTAAGTAATAAAATCGAAAATAATTTTTTTTTTATAAATGAATATTATTTTTGAAATTTTATATAATTTTGCTTCATTTGAGTACCAGGTTGAAATATTTTTGAAAAACTTTTTTTTGAAAATATTGGGGACCAATTCAATATTCGAGGGTCTTGAGGGATCCTCTTCAAATATTTTTTATTTAAAAAAAATTTAAACCTACTGTTTTTGTATTAGATATAACACATTTAGGGGGTGGAAGCAGGTTTTTCTCAAAAAAGTTGTTTTAAGAGCCACCCTAATATATATGTATATATATATATATATATATATATATATATATATATATATATATATATATATATATATATATATATATATATATATATATATATATATATATATATATATATATATATATATATATATATATATATATATATATATATATATATATATATATATATATATATATATATATATATATATATATATATATATATATATATACAGAGAGAGAGAGAGAGATATTTATTTATTAATTTATTTGTTTATTGAGATTATGAGCCAATAAATTTTTGTGTAATAGTTGAAATTATAAATCTTAATAACACTTTAATAATTAGTTTTTTAAATTAGTGTGGTATATCAAATGATAGAAAATTTGAAACACTAAATAGTGGTGTAAATAACTCTATACTGCCAAAAATGGGCTTAGTGCATTTCCCTTGCATACCCATTTGTAAAACTACCGCAAAGCAGGATCAGCTTTAGGTTCGGGCGAGTTAGACCAATCGTTTCGCCACGGCTTGAGATCCTACATGAAGAAAAACCATGAAGTTCATCTGACAGCAAGCACAGTTAGAAAACGCCTGCAGCAAGCTGGTTTGAATGGGAGAATTGCTGCAAAGAAGCCTTTATTGCAACCTGATAACATCGCGAAAAAAAGAGTATTCGCGAAGTTACAATGGAATAAAATGCTATGGAGTGATGAAAGTACCTTTACTGTTATCTGTGGAGCTAAAAGAGCTTATGTGAAGAGAAGAGTTGGTGAATGATTTAGTCTTCTATGTGTTAGTGAATGATTTAGTCCTCTCATACAGTAAAGCATGGAGGAGGCTCTCTTATAGTATGGGGTTGCATGTCAGGATCAGGTGTAGGTCATTTATGTTGCTGTACAGGCACGGTAAACCAGGATAAATATTTGGAAATATTAAAAACACAAATGAAACCATCAGCCAATAAACTATTTGGTAAAAACAAACCATTTTTCTTTCAACAGGACAATGCTCCTTGTCACAAAGCTAAGAAAGTAATGGAATATCTCAAACATGCTCGTACCAATGCTATTGAATGGCCTCCACAAAGTCCTGACCTGAACGTCATTGAAAATTTGTAGGAGGAGCTCTTCAGAAAAGTACAGAAAACCAAACCCAGCAATCTGGATGATTTGTGGCAACATTTGCAAGCTGCATGGCTAGCAATCCCTGTTGACACCATCCAAAAGCTGGTACAGTCTATGCCAAGACTTGTACAGGCCGTGCTTGATGCGCATGAAGGGCATACAAAATACTAGTCTTTTAGTCAGAATTTTTTATGTTTTATTAGTGGCGCTTATTACTGACAATGCAGAGTCATTTTTATTTCAATGTGATGCTGTTGTATTTATATTGTGCCAAAAATGAATAAAATTCTCTTGTTTTTGAACTGTGGTCATGACTTTATGCCTCTACTGTATATAGGTGTATATATATATATATATATATATATATATATATATATATATAATATATATATATATATATATATATATATATATATAATATATATATATATATATATATATATATATATATATATACATATATATATATATATATATATATATATATATATATATATATATATATATATATATATATATATATATATATATATATATATATATATATATATATATATATATATATATATATATATATATATATATATATATATATATACATATATATATATGCAATGTGAAGTTATATATATTTTTTTAAAACATATATTTGTGATTTAAAAACTTATTACTATTATTATTATACTATATATTATTATTATACTATAATACTTTTATTACTGTTCAGATTGTCTGTTTTAAATATATAGTTTTTTCTTTTAGTTTGTGCATCGACTTCTCACGAATCATACACAGAGTCGATTGTCGATGCAATAATTACTGATTCGTGAAAGCCGGCAACTTTTGCTTGTCTTAAAGTGCCTTAAATCCAACAGATATCATCGTTATAATATTAATTTGTTTGTAAATTGTTTTAAAAAATAAATTTAAAAATAACTTTTAAATAAATTTTTTATTTTTCTTGTTTTTTTAACCAACAGGTTCTTTTAAAAACAATTTAATAATAGTACGTCTTTTAAAGGTTTAAAAGATGTTTTTTTATGATTTAATTTAGGTTATTTGAAAACGTCTTTTAAACGTTTTTTTAAAAACGTTTTTTAGGTATTGCCATTCAGAACGTTTATAAAACGTTTTTTTTCTTAGTTAAAAAAACGTTTTAAAAACGTTCATGTGCTTACTGGGTTATCTTTAAATAGTTGTTTTACGCTTTTTTTTTGTGATTTCTTAATCTTTTTTTTCACTATTTTTGACGATCCCGTTAATTCTTAAATTATTTTTTCTGTTACGGTCTTTAATATCGACGCTTTTTAGTTTTAATTCAATAATGTCCGAAGATATTTTTCTTACATTTTATAAATCGTCATTAACTTTATTTATTTTTTCCTCAACTGCTCTAGTTTTATCATTGAAAACATCGCCAACAAAATATAAGCCAAATTTCATTTCATCAAGTTCACCCCAAACTTCAAACTTTAAAACTAAATTAGTCGTTTATGCTAAATAGTGATTCACGGAAAAAAGATAGAATTGTTTCTTTTTGAATATTTAGAAGTTCTCTCATCATAGAAATTGAGACTAATTCTTCTGATTTAGAAATTCCAAATTTTATTAGGCAAGATAAAATTTTTTTAAAATTATTTTACTGTTAGAAAAACGCGTCTGTTCGCCACGATGTTCACAACACAAAAAGTTACTTTTGAAAATAAAAAAACTTATTTTATAAAGTAAAAGTCGTTTCATAAAAATTCACTTTTTTGTAAATGTAAATTAAATTTAAACGGGGACAATTACTTACATAATAAACTTTTTCAAAAAAATTTACTTACTCGTGTAAGTTAAAAAAAAGTAAATAAAAGTGCCATCCCTATGCAAAATAGACCTTCTAATTGTTTTTAAAGGTTTTACAGTTTTCTTGTTAACATTTTGCAATCTCGTACGACCTGTTTTAATTACACTCAGGAATAGGTTTTTACAAGCATGCAAGCATGGCAACCGGTCAGATTTTAAGAAATATTTTACTTTGAAATTGTGTGAACCTCCTTTCTTTTGTTTTTGAGCAGTGGGTCTTCCCCGCCTTCTTTTGATAGCACTTGAAACATCTAATATATTAGCAATCATGTTATCTTGTCTCTGTTTATTTGCTTCTTTATAGAAATTATCCCTCGTGTTCTCAACAAATGATGGTGTTATTTTAAAACATGAAAAACGATTATTTGATGAATTGTGGTTGCAAGGTTTATAGATCTTTGAGCCGGGGAAGCCGAGTTTTTTTTTATCTTTGGCTCTTTTTCCACTTGTTACTTTTCTTTTTCTGGTTCCCACATTTGCATCACCCACAAGAACTGTATTTTTCTCATGGGTCGACATCACTAATTATTTTTTCAATTAAGTATTACAAAATTACAACAACGACGAATTCATTGTCTTCTATAAGACAACAGCGACTATGATGTATTTAAAAAAAGGTCCAACTTTATAGAAAAAGCACTTTGTGAACTATCTAAACTTTTACGCGGAAAGTAATTACTCTCAACAAATGGTTGAAAGGGGTAAAGCTACTGAAGCTTCCGTTAAAAGTAAAGTTAAGCTTTGAGTCGGACTTTCATCTTCTATCGATGAGTTAAAGCAGGTGGAAAAATTAACTGAAAAGATTTACTAGAGAGCTCGATAGGCTTATGCCAATGCCAGAACGTAAAGCTAAACCTATAGTTACGAAAGAAAGACTGATCTGACAAGCGAATAAAAGAGCTAAATAATAAATTTCTCAAGTTATTAATCAAGTCATAAGAAGATGACTCGCCAGAGTTTGAACTTAGCAAACAAGCTAAACATCTTGTAGATTAAGTAGCTAAACTACCAAAAAGTCACAAACTTGAATCTGACATACCTATTTTTAAAAACGAATTCAAACGTAAAATTAAAGAATTGATAGAAACTAAAATTAGAAAAGATGGACAAAAGTGACTATGAATTTAGTTGCTGAGCTAGTAAAAAAATCACCTAACGGTGTTACTATAGTGCAAATTGTTTACCTGTGCTCAGATGTGTCAGCTATTCTTAATAAAACCAACATTAAAGATTTACTTGATACTACTCCCGCAAAAATTATTAATTTTGTTGAAAAATTTTCCAATGAAGGTTCAGATTGGCAATTAAGTTGTTGCAAATTGTTACACATTAAATTTGCAAAATATAAACCATTCAGAGGCATTTCAAAGCGTTGCGTTGTTAATGTTAAAAACAAAGAAAACCGTTGCTTTAATTGGGATATCCTTAGCACATTAAACTCAGTAGACCCTCTTGAAACTGATTGCAAAAGGAGAGAAGTACTAACAAAATCATTCATATTGCACGTCAAAGTATGAAAGCCATCTCGAAGAGCTTAATATGAATGGAATTGAATTTCCAGCTAAAATAAGCGATATTTCGAAATTTGAACGTAGAAATCCAATACTTTCAGTTAACGTTTTTGCATGGGCTAAAGTGGTGTACCTCTTTATGTTAGTAATGAAAAAGGTAAGACCGATATTGATCTTTTGCTTATCTAAGAAGATTCAAAATCTCACTATGTGTGGATCAAAAACATAGCTGGAATGGTTTATAGTAATAGCAAACATAAAAAATATTTATTTTATTTATTGTTGTATTTATTGACATTTATACTATTTGCGATGTAAATTACCTTTTATTTTTTTATTATTATTACTATTTTTTTTTACTCGCGATATATATACATATATACGTTTGTTTGTATTGTTTTATATAGTTTAGTGTGTTGATTTTAATTAGTTTATGTTGATTATAAAACTATTGTAAATAAACAATTGAAAAAAAAGTTTTAAATAAATTAAAAGTAAAACACCCATGTTGTCGATGTTGTTTTCCGTAATCCGGAAAAAAAGTTATGACTAATGCTGAAAAAACTTTATTTGCGGAAGCAACATTTTGCTAAATTTGCAATAAAAATATTAATAATTATAAAGTTCGCGATTATTGCAATTTAACAGGGAAATATCGAAGCGCTGCTTACAATTTATGTAATTTCAAGCTTCACATCAAGTCTGATGCGAAGCTTGACTAAGATCCCTGTAACTAAGATTCCTGCGGTCTTCCATAATTTGCGCGGTTATGATTCTTATTTGATTATGCAGGCTCTCGGTAAAGTTAAAGGAGGTAAGTTCAGCTGCATTCCAAAAACAGTTGAGAAGTATATAACATTCAACTTATATCAATAGCCATTCATTGACAGTTTACAATTCATAAATTCATCTCTCGATACTTAAGCAAAAAACTTGAATTAGGTGACTTAAATATAACTCGAGTTGGCTTAACTGATAGCGAGCTATTACTGATGAAACATAAAGGGTTTTACCTTTATAAATATGTTGATTTGATAGATTTAACGAGGAATGTTTACCACCTTGAGAAAATTTTTACTAAAAGCTATCAATGTTTACCACCTCAAGAAAGTTTCTACTAAAAGATATCAAGAGATCGTAATGAAGATGGTTATTAAGATAACACTTTTAACTGTAAGAGCTTCGGCGACTACCACGACATTTATCTTAAAAGGGATGTAAAACTTTTAGCAGACGTTTTTAAACAGTTTAGAACCACTAGTATTACTTATTTCGGTTTGGACCCAGCGCACTACTTTAGTTCTCCAGGTATGTCTTGGATTTGCTTTTAAAGAAGACAGGAGTCCAGTTTGAGCTTCTTACTGATATTGACATGCATAACTTCATAGAAAAAGGAATTATGTGGTGGCATTAGTCTGGTCTCAAAACGTTTTGCAAAGTCAAACAATCCAGATTGTTTAGATTATGATGATAGTAAACCAGATTCACATATAATTTATTTGGATGCCAATATTTTATATGACTAAGCAATGATGCAGCTTCTTCCAGGTCTTTCAGTGGTATAAACCCTCGATTTAAGATGTACTTAGAACACCAGATGACGCCTCAGAATGCTTTGTAGTAGAGGCTGATATTGAGTATCCCAAGGAACTACACAATTTGCATAATGACTACCCTTTAGCTCCGGAGATAATGATAGTTGAAAATAAGTGTTTAAGTGAATACCAGCAAAAAAATGGCAACCAAACTTGATGTTAAATTTACTAATTGTGAAAAGCTAGTTCCCAATTTAAGAAACAAAGAAAAATATATTGGACATTAAACTACTAAAGCTTTTGAAAAACATTACTCTAAGCTGATGAATGATAGCGCGTTTAGTAAAACTGTGAAATGTCTTTACAAGCGTAAACGTGTAGACCTTGTTCTTCAAAATGAAGAAAATCGATAACGTAAACTTGTTGCTGATCCGGCTTATTTATCTCATAAAGTATTTGATGGTGATCTGTTTGCTGTTCACAGCACGAAAACCAGATTAAAAGTCAGTATACGTCGAACAGTCTGTCTTAGATTTGAGCCATTATTTAATGTACCAATTTTGGTACCGCCAAATTAAATTAGAATATAATGAAAAAGTACAATTACTTTATACCGATACTGAAAATTTATTGTTTCAAGTGGAAATTGAAGATGTTTACAAATAATTGCGAAAAAGAAAGATTGTTATATTTTTAGTGAATATTCAAAAGATTATCTACGCTTTAACGAGACTAATAAAAAGGTTGTCGGTAAGTTCAAGGATGAATCTAATGACCGCTTCATTCAAAAATTTATCGATTTACGACGCAAGGTGTACTCTGTTCTAGAAGTTGGTCGAGAAAATAAAAAGAGAGCAAAAAAAAGTCTGTGTAGCTATTGTTAAAAAAATCTTAAGCTTAAATCATACAACAGTGTCTTAACGATCAGATTAAAAGGAAACGTACACAAGTCAGGATTCAAAGTAAGGGGCACCAAATCGGTGTATATACAAGCAAGTAAAAATGTCTCCATCCCCTCTTGATACTAAGCTATGGATTGCTCCAGATGGA